CTTTCGGTCTCTCCTGTTTGCAATCACTAGATCAAAAATTTCACGAAGGGATCTTTTGAGAATTGCCAACTGTGCACTTAGCCCGAAACCGTCAGAGCTCAAATTGCAGAGATGTTTATTGAACTGAACTTCTCTAAAGCTTTCTTCTTTAATATGAAGTTCTGCTGCAGATTAGATGAGCGATACAAAGTTTTGAAAAGGCTAAAAACTGAAATTTACAAGAAGAGGAGAAGGGGAAAAGCCCTGTTTTATTTGAGCTATGATGGAGACTAGAAAAACTTCTTTAATCGCCACAATAGCGACAATATGTAAAGAACCATGTGACCACAGCCCATTCCCAAAGCTAAATCAACACCTTGTCAACCCAGAGCAACCATGGAAGAGAAAAACAAATGCCATTTTCTCAGCTTAAACGCCACAAAGACCCCCGTACGATGAAACGATATTCCCAACAGATATTATATGTTATAAAAAGTCACAGTGGGGAACTATCAGCAATCATACACCAGTGGACAATCAAGGAAGCCAATTATTTCGTGTAGTATTCTTGAAAAATACATTTTACTCCCAGAACCTGAAATAAGACTAAGTTTCTAGATCTTCTTGAAGGACATTCTCCAAGTTGCCTTGAATAGATATCTGGCAGCTTGTGAAACTTGAAGATACATCTAAGATTGTAATTTTTAGGAAATTTTTATGTAGAGTAGGGAAATACCAATGAACATACCTCAATGGCTGAAACTAAAAGCTTTAGAGTACTAAAAAATGGTAAAAACAACACCTCTTTTATGAAAGTGCCTATAGAGGCAATCAGTGACTTCAACCAGAAAGCTTCATGTGTGACTCCTCAGTTACCTTTGGGTTACTTGTTTAGAAGAATACTGTCAACATAGTATTGGTATAAGTCTAAGTAGGGTTGCAGAGGAGCTGTGGGTGGAGCATATCCCTAAAGAGTAGCAATGCTTAAATCCATTGCACTTGGTGATTAAAAACAAGTATTCTTTGTTGTTAAAGAAAACTCTCTTTCTGACACCACAGGATCTGCCCTCGCCCGTGAAAGCACACCACACTAATGCCACCGATCATGAACATTGTCAGGGGCTTCAATAAAAAGAGCTGCCTTTCTCTACTTTACAGAAAACCAACACCAAACACAAATATAACACACCAGAACAGTCAAACCTCAGCGAAGGGTTATCTATTGACTGGCTTTAAATATTTAAGTCACATATACTTGACCAAAACCCTTTCAAATTCATCTTAAAGTCTTAATTCACACAACTCCTCTACCTAAGTTCAGAAGAATTTGGCCACAACCCTATTATCATTTATGATGCTAATAAGTATCACTTTGTTACTATATAAAACTCAGGGTCTTTGTCTTTTTACACCATTTGAAAGTACTGGCAGCTTAATGAAGACTGAAAACATTTGACATGCTGATAAGGTTTAAGAAACACTTGCACCTTAGAAGTGAAAACCTTCTAGGTTCCATCATAGAAACTGTCAACTAAGCAAGCAAAAATGCATCAGACGTACAATGGCAAAAATATTCAAGAGTTAAAACTTGCCATTATGGCATACTTAGTTGGGGCTGTCAATTTGATTGGAGGCCTAATACCAGTAATGTCAAAATGAAGGAAAACAGAAGCAAGTTCTTATTATGCTAACAATTGGCTTGACTATTGCAATCTAAGAAATGCAAATGAATTTCAAAACCCCAGTAGAGGCTCACAGCCCAATGCAAGTATGGGTGAAGTAGGGGCTAGCTTGGCTCCCAGGGAGAATTTTGCTTAAAATTTTGCTTAAAGACTTGGTAGAATATCAAGCACAATGAAATGCTCAATTTTCTTACAAAAGTGTTCGTATGTGTATACACAAGTGCACACACAATGACTTATCCATGACCTTAAATATATTGGTACTAGATGTATAACTTGCACAGGTAGGTTATTTCAAACATTTGCACTCTGGGGTAGAAGTATGGGAATGTACTCAAGTATTAAAACTTTATAAATTTGCTCATAAAATCAACCTCAGAGATTCTGATTAGACTAATTCAAATGTTAACGTAGTCTCATAAATTAGTATATACTGTCAACAATTTGCATCCTTAAGTTTCAAGTGTTTAATATAGCTTATAATATGTTTCCAAAATTTGAAGGTTAAGAAATAAAATGAACTACTCATAATATTCTAGGTACCACCAAGCTACACTTGTAATGGAAAAATATGCCTAGGATTTTGCCTAGTTTAAGGGAAAGGGTTAATGCATCCTTCTCTTTCAAATATTGAACCGTGACAACTAAGCCCACTAAATCCTTTTATTGCAATTGGAAATGATTAAAGTCTCTGTACTTGTTTATTTCCAATTATTAATTGTACCTCTTTGGGACTAAAAGATCAGACAATATTGCTGTCAAACCCAAAAGACTGCGCAACTGTATTCAATCACTTTTTGGTGCTCCTTTTGCAAAGCATCTCTTTACCATATGACCTATGCTGACATTTAGCAAAATCTATAAACCATAGTGGACTTAAGTTGAGGTTCTAAGTGCAACCCATTGTAGAGGTTGAGAGAAAAACTGTGATCTCCGAGAGGGAAAAAGAGGAAAAAGCTTGAAAAGAAAGGAAACCTCCTGCAAGACTAACGTCCAGTCACCATCATCATTGCAAAAAAAAAAAAGCTCCAAATTTGAAATGGCCACTTCCCAGGGAGCACGTTTCAAGTGAGGTTTGGATAACTTATTCAAGACTAATAACAAATAACACCTTGAAAACTTTACCATTTTAAACACAAACGCAGGAAACCTTGGAACAACTGGGAACCGCCATCTTACAAGCCATCCAATTTCACACAAGTGTCCCTCCAACTTAAGTTAATAACATTTTTATTTGGGCTCGCCCCCGTCTAACATTCACCTTGGCGGGACCGCTGCCCCCCACGTAACCCGTCCCTATAAAATGGGGGCGTTCTCTGGTTGTTCAAACCCCTCAAAAGCCCTTTCTTCGGGAGAGGAGGGAAGCCACTTGACCCGAGCAGCTCCCGGTTTCAGGAACCCGTCCCCGTTTCATCAAAATCTACCTCCCAACAAAGGGCGCCGCGGCCGCGGGAGCCGCAGGGGCTGCGAGCAGAAGTGTTCTCCTCGGGGGCCATGTGCGCCGCGGGGGTGCAGAGGGGCGCGGGGGGGAGAAAGGAACTAAATCGTGGGGCCGCGCGCGGCGCGCCCGGCCGGAGCGGGAGGCGGCTGGAGCGGCGCCGAGCCCGGCTGGCGGCGGCGCGGGCGGCGCGGGCTGCGGGTCGGTCCCGGCGCCGCGGGAGGCGGCGGGCGGCGCGGGCGCGTGCTCGCGGGCGCGGGCGGCGCGCGGGGCCCGGCGGGCGGCGGCGGTGGCGGCGCGGGGCTCGGTGCCCACGCTGTCAGCGCCCTCCGGCCGGCGGGGCGAGGGCGGGGGGGCCGCTCCCAGTCCTCCCGCGGCCGGCCCCGGCCCCGCGCGGCCTCCGCCGGCCCCCGGCCCCGGCCCGGGGCGCTCCTACTCCTACGTACCCGGAAAAGGCAGCCGGCGAGAGGCGATCGAAGCGGGCGGAAAAGACAATGAAAGTTAAAAGTCGTTCAGCAGAAAATGAATGTGAGCCAAGCGGCCATCTTGAAGCGAGCTGCAGACGCCGCTGTCAATGGGCAACGAGCGCAGCCGAGAGGAGCCGCGGCCGCCGCGCTCTGCTCATGCTGCCTCCGGAGCCCGGCCTCCTCCTCTCCTCCTCCTCCACTCCTCCTCCTCCTCCGCCTCCTCCTCCTTCTCCTCCGCCTCCTCCTCCTCCGCCTCGGCCTCCTCCTCCTCCTCAGCCTCCAACGCCGCCTCCTCGGCCTCTTCCTCCTCAGCCGCCGCCGCCGCCGCCGCCGCCGCCGCCGCCGCCGCCGCCGCCTCCCGCTCCGCACTCGGGGGAGGGGGCGCGATCAGTATTATTCTGCGGGGCCGGGAGGTGTTCCTAATCCGGATCGGGGCTCCCCCTGCACCATCCCCATTGTCTCACCCCGATCTCTGCCTTTAATACCACAATTATTATTTCATAGTTGCTGTGGGGGGAGCGGGCGAGTGGGGGGCGCCGTGAGTGTGCGTGCGGAGCGCGGGGGGAGGGGCGGCGGGCGAGGAGGGGGAGGGGAGGTGGAAAAAAATGCACCGCCGAAGGCCGAGTGGAAACTGACACCGGCTCCAAAATGGCTCGGAGTCCGCCCGCCCCCGCCCCCGCCCCCTGGTCACGTGCTCCCTCATTCCTTAAGGGCGGCCAGGGAATTAGTGTCGGTGTAGTCGGGCCGCTGCCGCCCCCTCCCAGCGCAGCGCGCCGCCCGCCCCTCCCCCTCGCGCCGCGCGACGGCCGCGCTTCGCAGGCATCTCTCCTCCACGTCACTCGCGCCACCCAGCTCCGGGCGCGGGCATCGTTCCCTCCCCGCACGCAGCTCGGCCCACCCCACGCACCCGCCCCGCTATTCCTTTTTTCTGTCCTCCGCCCGCGGCGCTCCATTCCACAAGCTCCCGCCGCGGAGGGCCCGGTCACCGCCCCCTCCAGGCCCAGCCGCCCCCACGGGCTGCGGCCCAGACTCGGGCGCCGCGGCGCGGAACCTGCGCCGAGCTAGGATCGCGGAAACAACAGCGCGGCCCGTCTTCCCGCGGCCCCGGCCCCTTCCCCTCCCGCCAGCGGCCGAGGCGGGGCGCGCTGGGGCAGCCGCCCTCCGGACGGGAGCTCCGCGCGGAGCGGGCCGGCGGGGCTTCGGGCCCCGCGGGGGAGAGTCGGGCTGCGGGCAAGTCCCTAGCGCCGGGAGCGGGACGGGCCAGCTCCCGCCCAGGGTGGCTGCACCGGCTCCCCAAGTCTCAGGTCGGGAGATCGCATCTTCCCCACCAGGTTTAATTTTAATCCAGAGGAAAGACAGTCGTTAAGAGTTAACGCTAATCCTTCTGTCTTCAGAGTAATAATTGACAAACACATTAAAACAAACGCTCAGTTCTTCTGGAGAGAAAGCATTTATTCAGAATGTAAATACTGTCTACTTCCTTTTTTAAGACATGAAAAATGATCAAAATGGATCAATGTACAGTTAATACTAAAGATTCAAACACTCCGGCAGAATTTTCCTCAACTTTTTCATACGTGTAAAAAAAAGTGTCAAAATTGATGAGTGACATAAATCCAAAAAGAAACCTTTTTCTATTAAAAACAGAGGACCCAAACGACGGTTCGGCCAATGAGGACTTCCAGGAGTTCTGGTCTTCCAGATGCGGGCGGGTCGCTAACTTCCCCAGGTTAAAATTGGGTTGCTCTTTCCAGGCTTTTCGAAGCATCTTTAAGTTTCCCCACTAAATCCTAAAAGACGTATATAATACTATGTTTTTTAAGATAAAACATGGGAAGGAAATATCCAAGTTTGAGAAAGATTCAAGAAAAAAGTCGGGAGACATTTTATAAACAGTTTAAAATTCACAAGGATATTAACCTTTGACAGACCATCAAAGGAAGGTTTTCCTCTAAAATAGTTCATTTTCAAATGGGCTACTTGCCCTCAGATTTGAAATAATGATTTATAACCGAATCCTCTTAACAAGAAAGGCATATATGAATTAAATTTCTCAAGTTATCTAACAATGATTATCCTGTATTCACCTTTTTTGAACATTTAAAGTTGAGTAACGGGTACATTAAAAAAAAACTGCAGAAGATGTCTTTTGGAAAATTCAATTTCACCAAAATTTCAAGCAATCATCTTCATTTTTAAGTGGTAAGAAATAAATTCATTGTCATGTCCATTAATCAATGTAGTGGTGAATTTTCCCTGCCATACATTGGCAATATAAAATTTTAGAATTTTATGAATAGTTCCCCCTTTATAAAAAGTCTTTTAAAAACACAGTTTAAAAATCCTGTTTTGAAAGTTTAATTCAATTTCTGAAAACAAAATACATTTTCAAAGCCATGTTTATAATATTGCTTTGTCCTATTGGATCAAAGTCATCACAAATAGAAGGAATTTACACTCAACAATACACTCAAAAGTTTAATTGAAAAGAACAGCCAATATAGATCAATTCTCTATTAGTATCATCTTAATTTCAAAAGTGAAGTCTACGTTAAAATATTGCTCTTAAAGCCCTCTTCCCATTAAATCCTTACCCAATCTTCATTATCTACTGACAGATAGATTATTTTTCTTTTGAACTTTCCAAAAGCATAATTCTCAAACATCTATAAAAAGATGGACATATTTACAGATCCTAATACTGTACCTGTAATTGTTCCATGTTGCAACTAAAACTAATCTCTGGGTAGGATTGGGAATCAGTGTTCTAGAGAAGAAAAAAAATGCTGTTTAAATCAAGAAAATTGAAATTCCATTACACATTTAATTTTTAGACAGGGCTAATGTATAAATACCTCTACATTTAAGGTCACCAAATAGGCAGGTCTGTACATCTTATGAAGTTGATTGGTCTAAAACAACACAACACATTTCAGTGTTCAACTCTACTTTTTTAAGTTTCCTAACCACCCTTAGAGAACAGTTAAACTTTACCTTTATCTGATATTCCAAACGCCAAGAAACATCAGTTATATGAGGGAGAGATCTGCCTATACTGAAAGATACAATGATAATTTTGTACATAATAACTACAGAAAACTTTCATGATTTTTCTTTACTAAGAATGGTTTCTAGCTTCCACACACCACCCCCCCACCACGACCACACACAAAATTTTAATCCATTCTGAATTTAAAACATTGTTAAACTTCATTTTCAAGTTTTGAATAGTAAAAGATCATTTTAAAAAGTATATCAATAAACTTCATCTTTTAAAAACATTAGCTTAACTTCAATTGTTTAACTTGCCCTTTGGCCCCTTCTCTTTTGGTCAAAATCCCTGTTTTTTTACCCTACTTTGTTTCACACCAGCGTTCTTCATTCATACCTGCAAGTGAAAAGTGGCTCAACTTGACACTTTACACAGTACCTACCTTCCCAGTAGGATTTCTAGGGAATCCTTATTATTCTGGAGGGTGGGGAAAAAAAGAAAAGAAAACATCTTTGCAAACAGAATAGGAAAAGACAATAATTGTTCATTTTTAAAAATTGAAGTAAATAACCTGATATTCTGTGCAAAACAGTTCTATTCGCTCTCTATCAAATTTACAGTCTTCTAGATAAGTGCTAAAGGAAAACAGAAATCAAAGTTTAGTTCCTATTTTAAAACTAAAATTGTAATAAATATATTATTTGATAATGGAATTTAAGCAATACCTTAGAGTTGATTTGTCTGCTCTTTGCTTTCCTGCTTCCAGTATGTAAGTTGCAGCTGCTGTGTGACAATGTTTTAAAACCACTGGGTCGATATGTTTCAAGTCTGGGTGATCTAAAATAAATTAATTGCCAGTGATGTCTATAAGTTTTTTTATGGTCATGTTTCTTAAAGGGATATTTTAATTTGGGTACACCCGCCCCTTTAACAAGATAACAAAAAGAATTCTATTGTAAGGACTGGCGATTGTAAGTAAATGAGATGAGCAACAAGGTCAATGGCAAAACAATAAAGAGCACACATCAATAATTCTGATATTTCCCATCTCAATTACCTTCTTTTATTTTGCCTTGATATTTTTAGTATTCTTAGGGAAACATTTTCCAAAGAAAAAATAACTATACAGTGGCCATTCTAACATTGGGTGGAGTAAATTCAGAGGAAAATAAGGACATAAATGTTTCACGTGATGCAAATTTAAGAATGAATACATTCCCTCTAAAGATTGATTAATTATAGTGTAAATGCCTTAATGGACAGTAACACCTCAAGGAAGGCAAGGGCACAAGTTCAGACTATTACACATAATTTTCAAGTTTTGACAGCCATCCCTTTTTTGAGATTACCCAGGTGGTGGCTACTATTTTCGTTTACACAACTTCCACTTTCATATCTTTTGTACGTGTTTAGTTCATGAAACTACAGAAAAAAAAAACAAACATTTGAATTGTTGGGATATTTATATTTAAGAAAAGTACCTAGAAGCGAACTGTCTTAAAATATGTCTTCAATCCATACAAACACGGCACTCCGCAATCACTGACCGCACCACTGAGCCTCGCCCCCGGGTCACTGGTGCGGAACAAACATTGAGCACCGCGTCTTAACGCTCTGGGTGTGCACCCTGTGCAAACACACTGCACTGCCCTACTGCAGGGGTCAGAGGAGCCTGAGGTATTCCCTAAATTGGAAGGTGTCAACCCTATTTGACCTAGCAATTACTTTGGAAGCAGAGTCTTTAAAACCTTTGCCAGCCGAGCACCAAAAACTTGAATCGCCTAATGAAATCCAAGTGTCAAACAGCCTTTACCTCGGACCAGGCTGAGAACCGTAGGTGTTTAGGCCACAAACAAGACTGAAACACGGGTTTTTCAACAGAACAAAGAGCCTGGAAGTGAGAGTCCGGCTAGGAGCCTGTAGCTGACTATGCGCAGGTGCCAACTGGGGACAGAGTAACGCCAGGGTCCGCTCTGGGTCTGGGCAGAGCCGCCACCCCGCTCTCCGTCCGGAGCGAAGGGCAGAGCCCGGTGACTTCCTCTTCCCGGGGCTTCCCCTCTCCCTCCGTCTCGCTCTCTCCTCGCAGCGCCCTCTGCCCAGGCCGACCCAGCTCCGAGCCTGGCGGCTTACCCAGCACGGCCTCGTCCGCCTGGGCGTCCAGCAGGCTCTGGAAAGCCGCCCGGAGGAGAAGCGTGAAGGCGTTGGAGTCAAAGGAGCCGGGATCGGCCAGCATCTGGAAGCCTTTCTGCACAGACTCCGAGAGCTCCATTGTGAGCGCGCTGTGACCTTCGACACGCGCACCACGTGACCCGGGCCGCGCGCTCAGCTGCTGCGGCCGCGCGCGCAGGCGGCCCGGGGCGGCGGCGGCTCGGGCTGCGGGCCTCCCTGCGCCGGGCGTCCCCGCGGCCGCCTGGCCTCTGCCCCGGCCGCCCGCCCCCGCCCGCGCCCCGCCGCCGCCGCCTCTGCGCGGCCGCCGGAGCTGCCGAGCCGGAGCGAGAGGGGCGGCCCCGGGTGCTTTGTGGACGCGCCCGGCGCTTTCTCTCCCCGCCCCCCCCCGCCCGCGCTCACCTGGGGCCGTCCCCGGCTCCTGAGGGGCTCACGGCCGCCTCCCCCCCCCCCCCCCCCGCCCCGAAAGACCCCTAGGAGGCGGGGGACGGGGTCGGGGTCCCGCCCCGCTTCCTCAAAAAACGGCGTTCCCGCTCTCGCACACCGCGACAGCCTTCGGAAAGCTCCAATTTAAGGCAACTAATTTTTTCCCCTTTAGTTTGGGGCGTTTCTTTTATTCAACAGCTTAACCCCCTAGCACTGCCCTTTTGTGCGACTTTTATGTAATTCCTGTTTCTTTTTCCTTTTCCATTGTCATTTCTGGAGTATGGCAATTGACTCCTTCCTGCGTGGAGTGAGAAAGTGATGCATATACAACACAGTGCGCGTGTGTACGCAGTGTACTAAAATGATTGTGTAATTCTAAAAGGTATTTGACATAATTATTAAAATGTGTATATTCCGCTGCAAATAAATATCTTTCAAAAGTAGACATACAAATTGTGTGCTACTGTACTCGGTACATCTATGGGTTCATTTTTAATTACTCAAAGAATCTTCATATATTTATCTCAGAAAGTTATCTTTGTAAGATACAACTAGATGTTCCTAGTTGTATTTTATTAAAAGTAGTTACTATTTTGGGTAACCATAACTTTAAAGATTCAAATATTGTATAAAGTTTAAATTCCTTATTATATCTATTAAGTTGGAGAATGAGAATGATTCTTTTAAAAAACATATACACACCAAGAAGCAAAGTAGATTATGCATTTTTGATCAAAAGAATTTAAAAGGAAAAGTCAAAATGCCCGTTTTTTACCAGTGGATGGGGGGGGGATAAGGAACAAGAAAGGTGTTTTAGTCTTCAGAAGAGGTTATTTGAAACAGACTCACCGTGAAAGACTTTTCTGTGCATAATTTAAGTGCTTATTTGAAAAAAAAATTAACCTTGCACCAGTACATAGAGAGCACCTGATATTCCAATAGGATGCAAGTGGAATAATTTAGCAGCTGTAACAGACTGAGTACTCAATAAGTTTTTTGAAGGCTTTGAAAGGTATATGAACTAGTTCTTCACTTCAGTGAGCATGTAGGAACAGTGAAGGATTTAAAAGTTTCCTTTGACTCTTTATGAAACAAATATCTACTAATTATCATCTTTTCTTCCAATCTCTTATTGTCTGCTTAAATTCTGTTTCTCATCAGTAATAAAATGTCAATCGACAAATTTCCAGACATCTGATTTACAAGGCAGAGTTGTATGAATGTTAAACAATATAAACAGTAGTCATTATGTTCATTACATATATTTTTATGACCTTGCATAACATTGATTGATACTTTAATAAAATTTGAATTAATCATTGTAATCATACTCAATTTGGTATTGAAAAGAATGCATTAATGCTTGAGCATAGATTTTAAGATTTTAAATTTTTTAAAGAGTTGGAATACAATTAAATGGTTGTGAGTTTGTAAGCATAAAAGTTAGAAAATTCACAAGGATTGTTTTCCTAATAGCTGTTATGTTACTCTCTTGTGCATATATAATTACTTTCTCTTATAGGGCATTTGTCTTCTGCCTGAACATATTCATGTCTTAGGCCCAAGTTATGGGTACATTTCCAGTTCACAAAAATTTTAACCATAATGGTTTTTGAAGCTAGAAAAGCTGAATTTTTCTACTGTAGATACATTTACTTCAACTTCCTTTGAAGGAGAAACAGGATAAAGTATTTGTTTCAATGCAAATAGAATGTTTGTCTTTGTTAAGTAAGCCATTGAAATACATTGAAATATGATCATTAAAATGGCATGCTTATCCAGATTTCAACTCTCTTGGTTGCAGCAACAAAATAAATGTTTTTTATATTGTTAGAAAAAAACTATGTACCTAACCCATTCTGAAAGTCTGAAGAAAAACTTTAAAATTTTTGCTTTAGTCACTAAACACCACATTGGAGCTTTCACTAGAATTTAAAAATATTCTGTAGGCTGAAACTAATAGACTAATAAAGAACCTTTAAAAATAACAGTTAGGTACAGCTGAAAATAATAAAATAGATATTTAAACATCCTCATGTTAATAATATATTTTTCCTTTTAAACTGCAAGTATTAAGATAGTAGATGCTGATAAATTTGATTTTCTTTTTGAGAATCTAGAAGTTATTCAAAGAATTATAAAGTATCATTTTAAACAGTGTTATAAAGTGTTTTAAAATACACTGTATCATTTCAACTGGTTAATTTTTTTTTATTTTTAGAAACAAATTTAATATTGGCTTCTGCTCTGGGAGTACAATTATAGTGGTCTAGAGTGTTTATAGGATCTATGTGTCCAGTTTTTCCCAAAGGCCTCATTTGTATTTTTGTTAGTTTTATGAAGTAAAATATTTTCTAGTATTCTTTTAGATTGTGTAAGTACTTTTGCTTTATTGCAAAGAAAGCTGAAGGAAAGTATTCCTCTAGTTCACTGAACATCCATGGAGAAAAAGGGAAAAGCTAATATGCCTAAGTGCCCAGGAGACATCCAGAAGTTTTAGCTGGTATATAAACTCTTTGTTCTAGTAGGGTTCTCTTTTATTTCTAGCCATGGGATAGGTACCTACTCATTTTCTAGAGAGGAGAAAGTTAAAAACGATGAGAAACCATCTTCCCTATGCCCCTCTTCTACTGAGTCTTGGATGGTCAGTGATCTTCAAGCCTTGAGATGTATATATATTTATTGCTCTTTTAAAGTTATTTTAACCACAAATGGACAGTTGGGGAAATATTGCAACATATAACTGAATTATACATGACATTTGAAAGTATAGATAAAAATCATTTCAGTGAAATTTATAACATCTATAATATTCTTTAACTTTATTAAATATCTTAACTTAGTCAGGCTTGGAATCTGAATGGTCCAGTGTTTGCACATTCATGATCACAGAGTTCAGTGGTTTCAAATTGAGGCTTATGTTCCATATGTTGTCAAACAGACCACACTGAGTATTCAGAGGGGACAACAAAGCTTTTCAAACTTAGTGGCCTGGTGCATGGATTCATGCACATTGAAAGGAAATTAATTAGAAGAAATATTGAGGTATTTTAATATTGCTATTCACCCTTTCTCTATAATAGAAGTGTCAGAGATGAAAGAAAACTAGTAAAATGCATATGAAAATAATATGTAAATTAATAAACAATAACATGACATAACAACAAAAACATGATATAAAAACACTGATAAAAACAATGACTGATAAATTGATTAATATCTAATATCTTCCTGTACACCTCAGTAAGAGTAAAAACACTTTCAGAGTGCTTGACTAATTTCCCTTGTGATGAAGTATTTACAACTTTAATGTACCACGCTCTTCAAACCCGAGAGAAAGCAACATATAACTGACCAAGTTCAAAGATGAGTTCAGGTAAGAATATTCCTACTCTGTCTAGATTGGTGCCAGCAAGAGCTTTATATATATCATGGATCCACAAGTCAAAACTTATTTTTAAATTGCACATCATATTTACTGGCTGCACAGTTGGACGGACATACGGTCGGTCACTTAGTCTTTTATGGATATGTAGATTAAACATGTAATCCAATTCTTGATAATTCCTAAATGGTGATTGCCATAATAATTAATATAGGCAAATAGAGCCTTTCCCGCCCTCTCATATAATATAGTCTATCTTGTATATGTGGACTTTTAGTTAAAACTCAAATTCATTAAATGAAATTAGTGTCAATATGTGAGAAAATGAAATGCTAGTCACATTAAAAAAACAGGAACCAAGGAATGAAAATCAATGATACAATGTTATCTAAAACACTTAGCAAATTCATGCTTATGGTTTGTCATGAGTGTTTTAGATTTTTCTCAAAAAAACTTATTCAAAACAATTAGACTACATAGTATAGTTGTTATTTCAATAATATTTTCATAAGTTAGTACCATTTTAAAAGTTCATTTTTTAGATAATAAAATTATTCAAATATAAAACTTCAAAATGTGATAAAGCAAGAAATAAAATTGAGTATTGTAAGTCTAAGTTTTAACAGGTTAAATTAGCCACACTACTAAGAAACTGAGTTTCTTAAAAAGATAAGTCTCAAAGCATTTTTTGAATTTAGGAAACTTTAATTTTGTTAAACTTTGCAAACAAGAAATTCTATAGTCAAGATATTGTCAAGCCAAGACCGGTTTTGCTCAATGGATAGAGTGTTGGCTTGGGGACTGAAGGGTCCCGGGTTCGATTCCGGTCAAGGGCATGTACCTTGGTTGCGGGCATATCCCCAGTAGGGGGTGTGCAAGAGGCAGCTGATTGATGACTCTCTCTCATCGATGTTTCTAACTCTCTATCTCTCTCCCTTTCTCTCTGTACAAAATCAATAAAATATATTTAAAAAAAAAAGATATTGTAAAAAAAAAAAAAAAGAATACTTTTGAATTTATAAAGTGAAATTTGGTAGTTATCAATTGTCATGCCATGATTCTGATAGCTTAAAGAATCAGAATAAAGATAGTCAGAATAAGATTACTCTATCATTAAAGGTATATATACTAGTATAAAAATCAAATTATAATTTTTAACATAAAATCTTTGTATTTAACCAGTCTATAACTTTGAAAAGATTTTGTGCATATTAGAAAAGCCATATTCTTTAGGGCTTCTTTTAGGAATTTGATCCCTTATTTTGAAGCAAAACAACTAATATTACATGGGAATATCTGAGTTGTATAGACTAAAATTGTAAAGTCTTTAAGAAGAAATGAGGAATAAATTTAAAGGCTGGGAAATTAGAATAAAAAAAGTAATAATTC